AAAAGGAAGAAAAGGACTAATGGCACCAAATGAAACCCACCAGGCCACATGGAATGCAAGTAATGACACCAATGAGACTTGCTCTCCTACCAAACCTAGCCCAGTTTCCCTACAGGCTCTACATCATCATCTAGGGTTTTAAATCAGTGTTAAGAAGAAAGAGGATCTATTTACAAATGCCCAAAATGTTGTGCCAAATTCATGGTAGTTGAAAACCAATTCATATTTCATTTCCTTTTTTTTATGTTTACACAAGCGATATTGGAGAGGGGACAGTCGAATGCAGGATCTTAGATGCAAGGGTAACTGCTCTTAACCACTACAAGCGCCTTGCTTTTTTTGGCTTTTTTCATGCCAAGGAAGATGGAAGGGTCTAGCAACATAGGATTATGAGTCACAAATCACAACCTTCATTGAAGAGGGTAAGATCTTTCTTTGTAATAATTGAGACAGAGCTTGAAGCCCATGTGAGGTGTACAGAAATTACAGACTAGTGAGCAGGACACTGGGCTAGTGGCTTAGCATTGAGAGGATCTATAGCAAAAGGAATAACTTACTCTCTACATACTGTTGTTGGCACCACAAATACTTACTCCAAAGGGGGAAGAGTGGATCAAATTTCTAACACTCAAAACATGGCCATGCATTGTCTTTTCTCAGCAATTGATTTCAGAGGATAAAAAACACTCTTTGAAACTGACCATGATGCTCTGTGAGCTCTTCTCTAGACAACGCAAGTTACAATAGAAGACAAAACTTTATGGTCTCTGCAACACTTTGACAGAATAGAGTCCAAGTTCATAGACTTGGTTTCTTCGTTAAGGTCACAGAAAACATATAAATATGATATCTATAAAAGGAGAAAAACTTAGTTGCAACGAGGATAACATTATTTTGCTATCTGCAGCTAAAAATACACATGAAAGAGTTATCACGTGTGTCATAATGCTATTGGCCGGGGATAGCAAAACAATGTTATCCCCGTTTCATGCAAGTGTAGGATTACTGCAAATCCCTATGAAAAAAACAAGGAAACAAAAATTCAAAGTGGTGTGGTGCTCAAGGGAGAGTCAGCTCCCAAGATCTTAAATCCAATTGTAAATCCTCAGCTAGACCTTGGCCACTTTTTTGACAAGGATCGGAAAATCTGCAAGCACCCCTAATTTTAAAAATCCAACTCTTGGCCCATTAGGCTTGCAACATTCAAACGATTCTCAGTATCCTTTATGGAAGTCAGTGCTCCATGTTGCACTTACATAGCTCAAAGTATTTCGTGTTCAATTTTCCAGATTCTTCCCCAGTTCAATGTGGTGGTCCATTCTTCTTCATATGTATCCCCACTACAAGACAGAGTCCTTTTTCTGAAAATGCAAAACCGCAATTGTTCACTCGGATCAGATGTGCATCTGTCAATCCATGCTATTAGCATGAAGTTCAAAACGTCGAATGCATTCATCCAAACCAGTCAAACTTTATAATTCAATTGCCATAATGTGTCAAAAGGAAGAAGACATTCAGAATCCCTTATCTACAATAAGAATATAACACTTCTTTAAGAAATTGGGTAGAAATGTAAATGCAAAATTAGATATCTGTGTTTAATTACATAACTATGAAACTTTTCTTGATTTCACTACTTAGATACTGTGCATTTCAAGTACTTACAATTAGTGCCCAAGCCTGAGCAATTTGACATTGTATATTTGGGGTACAATGTGGTTACCACTCCAGAAAGAAGCATACATATAGGCAATGTATAAAAGCTAATGCAATCTGCATTACTTCAACATAGATGTCTCTCATTACCCAATGCCTATTCACCTCTTACTACGGGATCCAGGTCCAGATCTTGGACCCGGGAACCGGGAAAACTGCAGCCGCAAGTAATTAGAATCAGGACTGTGTTCATCCATTTCATAACCTGTGAATCCAACCATAACGTCAGCATCTACCAGCATTTCAAAACCACTACTAGCATGGGAAAATAAAAAGACCAATGCAGCTAGTTCTACAGGTTCTGAACTTAGGGCTAGCTATCACAACTTATGATTGCAATCTTAAATTGCCTCACCACTACTCTGTACACCTATTATGCCTGGAAGAATATTAGAATAAATCACCATGTACATGGTTGAATAAGTTACTAATAGCAAATAGCATTTAAGAAGTTATAAGGGAAAAAAGTAAAAAAGAAAACAGAAAGAAGGATTAAGTTTCTTTGACAGTGATAACCACAAGGTTGAAGACGAGCAAAAGCAATCACCTTGCAAGGCACTCAGAGCAGTTGCTGCATAGGCTGGACTTTCAAAGTCCACAAAACAAAGGATAAGAGGATCCCCACCACGCTGCATTATGGATAAACCAGAATATATGTGTGAATACTAATTTCATACTTCCAAAAAGGTAAAACCAAGTAATACAATGAGAATCCCAAATCAGAGTAAACAAGAAAAACAAAATGACCAAGAAAAATACGTGCTTAGAACAATCCACCACCCACATACATGTTTGGACTCTTTGCTCACAAGCCTCACTTCTTTATAGCCCACAAAAGGACGAAAGATATCTTAAAGCAATGTAAAGGATGAACAATGTGAAAACCATTGAGTTAAACAATTAGATGGAAAAGGGAAAGATCAAGTTAATTCTTGGGCAGAATGAGAAAGTCATCAAGGATACGAGCTACTTCTCTCTTTGTGCTGTCAGGAGGAAGTCCTTCAACATATAAAGTGTTGGAAGCGTCTGGAGGTAAATGAGCTGTTTCACGTCCAGGCCTAGCCATTGCATCGACTGGGAGCTGATTGGAAAAATTCATATTTCGACCATTTGTTATTAGATCAGAAGCAATAGGTCCAGGATGACCCATCACAGAATGTTCAGCCA